CACATAACACTTCCCTACCTACACATAACACTTCTCTACATGTTTATGGTCCCACACGTTTGAATCATTAGCCACAAATTCACATCAACCTGCTTACTTAAACCAATCATCACCAACCTTTAACATGAAGTTGACTTCACATCATACCAACCTCCATTTTTAACTAAGTCATCATCATCAAATAATTCAACACATCAGCCTATGATTCAAACAATTCCACACATCAGCCTACTGGTTCAAATAGTTCCACACTCCGCTTGCAAATTCAAACCATTCTACTAATTTAGCCTCTCATTTACCTATCCTCTCTACATGTCCTGGTTTACCTTCATGCTCACTTGAGGTTGATCTCACATCACTAAAGAATTCTATGATTGTATGACTTTCAAACCTCTACCTCAACCTCAAACACACACCCCATGACTACAAGATCAAAGCAGCAGCTGTTCCCTTTAACACAGTGTGTTCCACAGCCCTCAATTCAGAAATCATGCTGTTGTTCCTGAACCAAATACTGTGTTTGAAGCCATTCATAGTGCTAAGTGGAAAGGGCAATGCAAAGTGAATTTGATGCATTAATGAAAAATGACACATGGATTCTTGTCCCTCCTCTTCCTAATAAAATATTGTAGGCAACAAGTGGGTTTTAGAACAAATACAATGCTGATGGTTCACTGCAAAAGTACAAAGCTAGACTTGTTGCTAAGGGTTTTCAACAAACTCCTGGACTAGACTACTTTGAAACCTTTAGCCCAGTTATCAAGCCATCTACCATTAGGATAATCCTTACCTTAGCTGTCACAAATGGGTGGGATATCAACAAGTAGATGTAAATAATGCCTTCTTGAATGGAACCTTAAATGAAGAAGTTTACATGAGTTCAACCTATTGGTTTTGAGGATCCTACTAGGCCTTCCTATGTTTGCAGTTAAATAAAGCTTTGTATGGACTTAAACAAGCTCCAAGAGCTTGGTTTGATAAGTTGAAGGCTGCCTTATATCACAAGGATTCCAAAATTCAGTTTCTGATTCTAGCCTGTTTGTGCTTTGTCACAACTCATTTTTCATCTATGTACTTGTCTATGTGGATGATATTCGATTACTGGATCAGATAAGTGTTTTATCACTCAACTCATGAAAGACCTTATGATGAGTTCTCTCTTAAGACTCTTGCTCTTTACAATATTTTTGGGGTTAGAGGCAAACCAGAACAGCAACGGTATCCATTTGAGCAAAGCAAATATGTTTCAGATCACTGTCCAAAACCAAAATGTTGGACTGCATGCCTGCTCTACACCCATGCTGTGGGCACAAAACTTTGCTCTACTGATAGTGAATCTTTTGCTGACCCAAGCCTTTACGCAGCACCATAGAGCCCTTCAATACTTAACTCTTACAAGACCAGATAATTGTTTTTCCTGTTAATAAACTGAGTCAGTTTTTGCAAGCCCCTACAGAACTTCAGTGGCAGGCTTGCAAGAGAATATTAAGATATATTAAGGGAATACAACACTATGGGTTACATTTTAAACCAACCAGCACTTTAAAAGTTGAGTGTTATGCTGATGCTGATTGGGGCAGCAATCTAGAGGACCGACGGTCTACAAGTGGCTATTGTGTTTACATGGGACCAAACTTGATCCAGTGGAGTTCAAAAAAACAAAAGGTTGTAGCTCTTTCTTCTACAGAGGCTGAGTATAGAGCTTTGGCCCATACAGCCACAGAAATTGCATGGCTTCAGAGTTTGTTCACTGAGTTGGGTTTACAAATTAATGGCACACATGTTATTTGGTGTGACAATGTGAGTAATAGGGCCTTGGCAGCTAATCCGGTGTTTCATGCACGAACCAAACACATAGAGATTGATGCTCACTATATTAGAGAGCAAGTTCTTGCAAAAAAACTGCACATACAGTATGTCCCTTCCAAGCTTCAAATAGCTGACCTCTTAACAAAAGCACTATCAGTTGCACAGTTTACAGAACTCAGAAAAAGGCTGAATGTTGTAAGCCAAGAAAACATATAACTGAAACAAACATATAACTGAAACAGATTTTTTTGTCAGATGCAATTTGTCTGCTGTTTATGTTACTGCTGCAGTTTACAGGGTTCAGTTTTTATGCTACAGCTTATAGTTTTCATGCTGAAGAATTTGGGTTGCAGCATTGTTAAAACTGGAGCATTTGTTGAAATTTGCAGTTTTGTGAGATTGCAGAATTGTTTGTGTGAAACATAGCTTACAGATTTGTGTAGTTGAACAGATTTATGAGTTTGCAGATTTGTGTAGTTGATGAAGTTTTTGTGTGGCAGTCTACGTTTTTGTGTTGAATGTAGTTGGTGAAGTTTGTGTTGAGTAACTGCAGATTTATGAGTTTGCAGATTTGTGTAGTTGAACAGATTTATGAGTTTGCAAATTTGTGAAGTTTGTTGTTGGAAGAAATCTGATAAGAAAAGTGCAGAAAAAATGCAGTTTGTTGCTGGAAGAAATCTGATAAGAAAAGTGCAGAAAAAATGCAGTTTGTTGCTGGAAGAAATCTGATAAGAAAAGTGCAGAAAAATGAAAGAAAAATGTAGCAAAATGAAATGCAGTTTTTTTTTTTTTTGCTGCAAATGCAGTTTTTTTTTTCTGGTGCAGATCTGAAGTTGTACTGAATTTCTGATGCTGTACTGAGTATAAACAATTCAGAAGCTGTAAAATGAAGTTGATGTGGTAAGCTGCTGGAAGAAAACAAGACGCTTCAACCATTTGCAGTTTGCAGAGTAATCCAGTTTTGAGGAGTTGTGTGGCAATTTCTGTTTAAAGCTAAATTGAAGGGAAGGAAGCACAGAAATATAACCCAGTTTAAGAGGGAATGTCAATATACGGCCAAAACAAACTGGTAGCATGTTCAAAGCACACTTAGTCCAGCTCAAGGGGGAATGTTAGAATAAGAAGGACTAAACTGCTAGCAGTCAAAAGATGTGGGGCTTATTTGCAATATCACTGAAACGATGACGTTTCAGTAATCTGCAGTCTTTCTCTTAAGCTGAATCGTGTTATTGTCTTCAGTAGTCTTCAATCTTCAATCAGTTCTCTCTTCTCTGTGTAAGCTCACTGTATAAAAAGGGGCTTTTCATTGTAACACAAATTTTTAAATGAAATGCATAGATTCAGTTTTGATTAGTTTTTCTCTCGATTATTCTCTGAGTTTTACAATGACAATAGTCTTGTAGGGTACCGAATGCAACTATTCGGCTGATATCAGAAAGATCTATCAGCCTGGTCTACTTGTTTACTACAAAGAGACAAGGAAGGTCGTTAGAAAGCAAAGCCAAAAAGAAGTAAAAATTCGCTAAGTATAAAAAGGGAAGGCCTGCTCGATTCCCTGAACTGGCAGATGCCATCATAATGAAAGAAGAAAAATTTTGTCTCGTATGCCCCGGTGTTGCTAGGGTAATTGTAAATGCCTCCCTCGATTGTTGGTCGCTTCGAGAGGTAATAGAAGTCTTTGCCCTTGCTCTTCTTTAGGTAATACGAGCAAGTGAGCTCTAGCGCTGTCTGTTGACTAAGGCCATTCTCAGCGCACACGATATACATAGCCACGGCTATCATATACGCGTTGGGCATCAGCTGTAAAGGTACGACCCCGAAGTGATCGAGGATCGACCTGATGAATGGGTGGAAAGGGATCAGTGCTCCGCACTTAAATATGGCTTCAGAGATCGTAGCCATTCCCTCTGGTAGATTTCGAGCTGTATGCTTCCGGTATCGGTAGACATTTACGCTAATTGTGTATTGCTCTACTACCTCCTGTATTTCATCTCGGATAGCTACTAATAGAATCCCTTGTGTAGGACCTGCTGAGGTGTCCTACACTTGCGAGCTTGTCCCCTCACCCATTCTGGTCGCTATAGGGTCCATCTCTTCTTCGGTCTGAAAAAGGGAGGACACGTGGAAGTTACTCAGTCTCCGTACAAGAGTTTTGTACGACAACGTGAAAAAGAAAAACCCTAAAAACCCTTAGGGACCAGCCTTAACGGTTTGTTTCCTAAAACCCTAATTCTTTACACAAAACCGCCATTGCCAACTGGTTATCTACACTTAAAATAAGAAAAAAGAAAATGATGGAAGGATCTTCCTTACCCTTTTGACTGTGGTGATTGGATTTGTGGCTTTGAACGGAGAATGTGCACCAACTCGGAAACTAGAAATCTGGTCTCGCAAGAACTTCTTGCCTTTCCCTGAGAATTTGAGTATTGTGGCATTGCTCAAAGTGAACTTGCAGTTTTATAGTGGAGGAAACGACAATTGGTTCTTCCGAGGCCAAGCGATGTTTGGGCAGAACGCAGCAACTCTGGCCATTGATTGCAACCAGGTGTCATCAATCAGCGAGAAAGAGTAACCGCCATGCTTCAGGAAATTCCATCGTCACGTCTTTCCATTGAAAAAACAAGCGACGGCTCGATTCTCTCTTCCTCTTTAAATGCACCTTCATCCATATTTAATACTCTGATAAAGAATGTTGTTTCAGCATGGCTTACATTTAATGCGCATGGCTGGCATTTATGATGCGCAGGACACGTTTGTCAGAGCAAATAATGTTTCATTAATGGGTTAACTGCCAAAGCACAACGGATAATATCCGAAGAGGTCGTTAAATTAGAACACTCTTCGTCGCATGTCAATCGCAAAGTGATGTGATTCCTTGCCTCCAGTAGAAATATGCTAAGTGTAATCAAGTTGCTGACTTTGGTTAAGAAGAAAGGTATGTCGATACAGTGTTGAGCAGGGTCTAACCCAGGTCGTCGACTTCGCAGAAGAAGACCATCTCAGGTCACTGGTAGAAAAATTTTCTGCAACCTCATCATAGCCAAGTCAGATCAACCAAGCGTCGATTAGGTTATGTCAAATGATGGCATAATTGTGCAGTTCTCAAGGTTCAATCCTTAAACCTTAAAAAACGGAGGGACTTCTGTTATACTTGAAAAGGTTGGGCTGACGTGGAGCCTCACAAGTAAAGTATGGTCAAAACTCAGAAGGGTCATGTGCCGTCCAGGTGCGGCCACGTCGTAACCAGCGCAAGTGGCATGGCTTCTGTTAGTACAATAGGTGGGTGCCAGACTAGCAAGCGGCTGGAGATCACCCACATGTCAAAACCTTGTTTTAATCAAGGAAATCTCTCGGGCAGGTGAACAATGGGACACAGAGAATGATTTGCACAGCACCTACCCACTTGTAGCTTTTATAATCATTACTTTGAACTCTCCCACTATAAATAGAGGACTTCCCTCTCGTTTAAGGGGATTAGCTAATTTTACGTTTAATTAGCTCTCTCTCTCTCTCTCTCTCTCTCTCTCTTGTATTCTCACCCAAATTGTAACTCAGCTCGCTGAACAAGACCTGATCTCCCTTTTATTAATACAACAGTAGTGGATATAGGATTCACTTTTGAGCATCCAAACCACTTTAAACATTATTCTGCACCCTTTTATTTCATTCAATCCCTCATATCACGTGTGACTTCTAATTCCTTTTAGCATTTCACACATACGAGTAGTTGGTGTCAAAATCAAGCATCAACAATATATATATACGATAGCGGATCTAGAAATTCTTGTTGGGGTGGGCCAAAATAAAATGTAATAGCATATAATATTCATATTTATGTGTTTTAGTTGAAATTGGTATAAAAAGAAAAAAAAAATTATATATAAATATTTTTTTTTAAAAACATGGCCCACCCTCAATATACCTTACTAGATTCACCATGTGTGTGTGTGTGTGTGTGTGTGTGTGTGAAGGAAAGTTTCAATATTGGGTTTCGGGTTTTCACACATATGATGGCGACGTGGTTGGAAGCGTAAGGGTTATTGTATAAAAAGAGTGTATAACTTGTACACTCTTTTTCTCACCTGCTACATACAGACTATTAAGAATCGACAATCCCTTACGCTTCCAACCACGTCGCCATCAGATGTGTGAAAACCCGAAACCCAATATTGAAACTTTCCTTCACACACACACACACATATATTTGTACATAAAAATCTGCCGTCTTTTCTAACTTGCTACACACAGATCATGAAGAGTCGAAAATCGCTTACTTGTCCAACCAAGTTGTCGTCAGATATTGAAAAATCCTTCACAAATGTTGAAAGACTGTTCATATTCAACAAAGAGTAATCGACCAGTAAATCAAATGTGAACAAGAGATTGACAGAATCATATTTTCAGTGGAGTTTATATTATTTGAGAAAGAATTCCAACGACATATTCACAAATTGAAACGGCTAGAAGATTTCCCGTGAATGATGAAATGCATGAATGTATAGAAATGGCCCAAATATTTCCAAAAAAAAGCTTTAGATTTCGTTTACAATATGATTTTACTTTCAACAATGATATTTATAATTTATATCATTGACTTGAACATTATATCACCATATTTCAACGGTGATAATGCAAGAAATGGAAAACTACTATAATATGATTTTAGGCCGAACGACTTGTGCATACCCAAAGTTTACCGTAACGACAAGTTGGTACCTAAAAGGTTTTGAAACGACAAATAGGTACCTTCCGTTATATTCTGTTAATGATTTTTGTTTATTAATAGTGAAAAGACTAAAATACCCTTCAAAGTTTCAATTTTTGTTTTTTATAAATTTAAAAATTTCTAAAAAAAACCCTAGGTTTGCTAATTTAATTAAACACCCCAATATATAAAAAGTTTGTTAAATGACAAAAACATCCCCACCACCCCCAATGCCAGATTTCGGCCACCATCGCCGGAATCTGGCCGAAAAACTGCATTACGACACAGATCCGTCGGATCTGTGGCGTAAAGTGCCGATCTGGCCTTTTCCGGTCAGATCCGCCACGGATCTGGCCGGAAAAGGCAAGATCTGGCCGTCGAAGCAGCAGCCAGATCTGGCCTTTTCCGGCCAGATCGACGCGTTACGACACAGATCCGACAGGTCTGTGTCGTAACGCAACTTTTCGGCCAGATTCCGGCGGTGGTGGCCAGAATCTGGCACTTGCGGGTGGGGGGTGTTTTTGTTATTTTATAAAATTTTTATATATTGGGGTATTTAGTGAAATTTGTAAACTTAAGGAATTTTTTGAAATTTTTAAATTTATAAAAAACTAAAATTCAAACTTTTAAGGGCATTTTAGTCTTTTCACTATTAATAAACAGTAATAAACAGAAATCACTAACAGAACATGACGGAAAGTACCTATTTGTCATTTTAAAACTTTTTGGGTACCAACTTGTTGTTACGATAAATCTTGGATATGTGTAAGTCTTTCTCCCTATGATTTTATTGTCAACAATGACTATGTCACCTCACCCGTCAGCCGTGATCAATTTGAACAAGGGATTGACAGAATGACGCAAGAAAGAATTCTAACGAAAAATATGTCACAAATTGAAATTACTACAACATTCTATCACGCTATTTCAACAATTATAACGCAAGAAATGGAAAACTATTACATATGATTTCATTTTCAACGAGTCAGCAGTAAAAATTTCGATACATATATAGAGTGGACAGAGTGAACAAGTTCTACTACATTAGTGAGCTGATTGTGTTGAGTGAACTTAGCTCATTAAGTCAACTCAGTCAAACCAAGTCAACTACTACATCCTAACATTCTCTCGTAAACTAGACTTTCTGTAAGTTGTGTCAACTCAGTCAACCAGGTCCACTATTGCATCCTAACACTATAGCATAAAAATATTTACCAATACTTTAAATATGTGATATAGATAATTACATTTTTTAAAATTTGAACTACTGTTTAGTACTAAAACATACAATTTTACAGTTTTTTATATAAAAAAAATTTGACAGAAAGTTTGTGTTTTAGCATTTAATGACGACATTAAACTATTAATTTGGATGGGTTAACTAAGCCATTGTCAAATAAATTCAATATTTTTGTATGAATAAAAAAAAGGTCAATCCTAACATTGATATAACTATAATAAAACTTATTTATAGTGATACTCTATATAAGAATAATTTCACTATAGTTATAAAAAATTAAGGTCACAACTTTGGATAAATTATAAATAAGAATAAACTTCACATGGTTATAAATTATAACTTCCCTAAGTCCCAGCTTAATGAACTTGCCTCTACATAATAATAATTATTTGTATATTACAAAAGATATATGATATGTTATACTAAAGGTTTAAGATAAAACAAAATATTTATCTAAAGTTGCGTTGTTATCATTATAGGTATGTAATTAGACCTGGCAAAACGGGTGGGTGGGCCGAGTACGGTAGGGGTCAAACTGGTACGGGTCCTTATACGGGTCAAAATATACGGGTCTAAAATATTAGACCCGTGCCCTACCCTATACGGGTACGGATGGACCCGCGGGTGGACTTGTTTTTTCTCTCTCTAGATTTTAGTTTTTACAGTTTCACCCCTAACAAGTGTTCAATTATGATAGTTACACCCCAAAATTCCTGCAGTTTTAATTTTTTACATTTACACCCGCTAAATCAACTACTCTAAATTCAATTCAACTTAGAATATAAACAAATAGGAACCAAAATAAACAAATAACATATAAACAAACAATAACATATAATACAAAACTACAAATACCAAACAAAATAAACAAATACAAAATCACTAATACACAATTACACATAAACAAACAAAATAAGTCAATAAACTATAAATACCAACTAAAATAAACAAATACATAATCCAATATCTGGACAATTTTATAAAAGACCAAAAAGAAAATGGTGAAGAAAAAATCCTTTACACTCAGCAAATTAGTTTGAGACATCTTACAAAAGGTACAAATTTTGTGGCTCCAGAAAAGCTACCTTTGAATCCAATTCTAACACCATCCTGAACATAATCAACTTCCAGGAGGAAGTAAAGAAATTAGGACACTATTACGAATCTTTGCTATTACTTCTCATGCATTCTTGAGTCTGGAGAGTTATATATCAATGGTGACAGAGGTTGTCTTGCAGCTGGATGCAGATCGAAGTCAATCTTCTTCTCAACTGGGCTACTCATTTTAGGACTTGATTTTCGCTTGTCTGACTGTCAAAAAGGAAGCATCTCAAAAATTATATAACTAATGGCCGTTGTTTATCAAATGTAATAACACACGCACATAGTTCTGCCTCTCTGCTTACCTTGGCAGATGTACTGCTAGTATGCTTTCCACCAGAATCATTAAGGTTCCTTTCTCTATGGAGTTGCCTCAATAACTTCTTGCTTTCGCAATTTCACCTATAAGTTTCAGATCAAAGTAAGTCACACTGAGGATGTGAAGTCAAGCAAATACACATTAGAGCTAAATTTTTTAAATTTAACTTACTCATTAAAGCTAAGATATGTTATACTTTAACCAACATAAGGACTCCAATTATCATAATCTTTTCCACTTTCCAATTTCAGTCATTCATTCCCTTTAATGGATTGCTAAATTCAGATACTCATTTAAGTGAGATTTAATAGGTAGTCATGTTGGCCCAATCACCATGTGAACAAAGGGAGAAAGAAGAGAAGACTGGTCTTGAAGGTTGGCATGTTCTTTGAAATCATAACACTAGGGAACCTTATACCCATCTATTACATTATACATACATGATACATCCCTCGCTCAGGATTTAGATTACAAGGAGAAGTATGCAAAAAATAGTGTATAAATCAGGGGAACCCAACACAAACACACTCAACGAAAACAACTCTACACAGATCGACGTACAGGGAAAGTTCAACCAAACAACAATATAAGTGTAAACAATGTTAATCTCACAAACAAAAATTAAAATACAAAATATGCAGTAACCTACCTTAACCATTCAAACAAAAAGATCAATATTCTTTCCTCCGTTTTGACAACCAATGAGCTACAAACACCAAGCTTCCTTTAAACCCTTTTAATTTTACTATAAGCTAAAGAATCTCTGCTTTGAAAATTTGCAACTTCTTCACACCATTACCAGCAGCAAACTTATTATAAAGTCTCTGAACCTTAAAATCTGTGAAACTTTTTCTTTCTAACAATCACTTGAATCTTCTTCCAACTCTTCCTTTTCCACAGATTAAACCACCAATAAGGTTCTGCTTTGATTTTCAACCATAATTAACAAAGCTGAAGGGCCCAATAAATTGACCAAAGTTAAATCATTTTCTAATCCAAACTATTCAACCTAATTGCACTTCCCACCAAAATTAATAATAAGAACAAGCAGAAGAAGCTTCATCAATCAAACAACAAATAAGAAAACGCCATGTTATGTAAAGCTTTTCTGATTAATAAAATAAATAATAATTTATTTCAACTTTACTGATATGTTAGCAGTGGTTTTATTGTCTGGAATTGAGAAATTTTAGGATTCAAAAGATCCAAATCTAAAAGCCAGCAAACAAACAAGTAAATATAAAAAGATTCAAATTCACAAGCAAAAATTTTAATGCTTAACGGAAAAATCAAGGCAACTGTTTACCAGCCAAAGAGGATGAGTGATGGCGACCAGCGACTATGGTACTGGGAATGGGAATGACGGACTGGATGAGTGACGAGTGACAAACTGACAATTAATCGAAGAGGGAGACAGTGACAGGGAGTTGAAATTGAGGTACGAAGAATATGGTAAAGACTAAAGAGGGAGGTACTCAGTTGAGTGTTGACGATGACTGATGAGAGATTGAGAGGTAGGAGAGATTTGAGTTACTGAGAGTCTGAGAGTTGAGATGCGACCGTGATAGAGTTACAGATGAGATGAGAGGCGTGATAAAATTAGTGGTTTTAGATTTGCAAATACGGGTGCCCGCGGGTTCATCCATCTAACCCGTGAGTTATTGGACCGAGTACGGGTACGGGTCTCAAAAAAATGGGTTTGATATATTGAACCCGTACCCTATATTTTTTAACTGGGTACGGGCCGACCTGCGGGTCTGGACCCGTTTTGCCAGGTCTACATGTAATAACTTTATAGCATTGACACATTTTTGTTGACGTCATAATATTTCTAGGTTATCACTGTCTATACTTTGGATTTGACATGCTCTATTAATGAATTATTAATATAGTGCATATTTTACCTCTATACCACTTGCATTAAGGATAACTAAGTCAAAACTATAATTTTTGTAATTACACCTCTATGAAGTTATAACATTCTCGTGATAATAAAATTAGTTTAATCATACCATTATGACTATGGAAAGGTTATACTGTATTAAATATGTAAAATCACTTATTATTCTTTAAATCTCTTACAACCAACAAATCTAGTGCCAAATCTTCTTAGAAAGAAAATTAAGAGCATGTTGAGTGCATTAATATTAATTTGGTGTGATTAAATAATAATAATAAAAAAAAATCATCTTGAGGTTTCAAAAATAACAAAATTTTCCCAATGGCTAATTAGTTGTTAAAATTTCAGGTGAATTTTTTTATTTAATGAAATATAAGAAGGATTTTTTTTTTTTTTATCAATACTTAATAATATTATCTACATGGTCTTGTGCCTCATATTTTAACGCAAAATTTAACTACTGCGTTGATTGAAAAAAAAGAAATTCAATCCCTCATATTTAGCAAAAATAGTTAAATGAATTGTCATATATGGAATCATAATTATAATGCAAAAAATCTTAGATGGGAATAGAGACTTAAAATTCAGATTTTCAATTTTACTAACAAAAATTAATTTATGAAAGTTGCCATCACTTCAAAATCTCTTATTTTTTTTACTTCTAATTTTATCAACATAAGAAGATGTTAGAGATTTATATTAATGTTATGATGGAATCGTGGCTAAATTAAGGCCATGAAGTATACCGAACAATATTACTATTATCTGTCCGTGAATGAAATGAAAAAGAAAGGGATATGCAACCTTTCTTTTCCAATATTCGCAATTAATGAATTGGAAAAGGCTTCTTTGTTTGGTAATTGCTTTGAAATATTGAAATATTGCGAGAACTCTTGGCCAGTTTCTTCCCATTAGAAGCCAGGAGTTGCAGGATTTCGTCAAGCTTTTGCTTGAAAAGTCTCATGCGGGAGAAAGAGTTAACGTTACAGAAGAGTCGTTGAAGTTGACGAATAATGTGATATCGCAAATGATGTTTAGCATCAAATGTTCGAGGACGGATGGCCAAGCCGAGGAGGCGAGGACACTTGTTCGGGAAGTGATGGAGATTTTCGGAGAGTTTAATATTTCTGATATAATTTGGTTCTTTAAGAATGTGGATCTGCAGGGATTTAGAAGGAGGTTTATGGATATTCATAAGAGATATTATTCGTTGCTTGAGAAGATTATATGGAACCGCGAAATGGTGAGGAAGGAGAAGAAGAAAAATGGAAGGAGAATAAATGGAGATGTTGATGATGATGAAGAGGTTAGAGATTTTCTTGACATTTTGCTTCATGCTTTGGAAAATGAGAAGTCGGAGATACAGTTGACAGGAGATCATATCAAGGCCATAATTTTGGTAAGCCAGTTATCAGGATTCTCTCTTTATCTTAATTTTTATCTTTGTAAACACTATACATATATATATTCTTCTTGAATCGGAGATTTTATTTTTATCGTTAGAAAGTAGATAGATTGATAATGGAAGTCAGGTTCTTGATAATGATGTATTGAATCTAATGAATCAATAATACTTCTTTCTTCTTAATTATACATTCTTAACGTCAACCTGAATTAAATACAATGGTTGAATTTCATGTACTTTAGCGGTACTTTCGGTTCATTTAACATTTTGCTGATGTGTCTTCAATGAATACCGTCCATTATCAATTTGTAGCTTTTTGCATGACTTTCCTGATTTGGTACAAACATTGTATCTGCATCTACATGCTTGACCACATACATATTTTTGTCTGTTCTCACTTCAATTCACTAATACAAAAAGTGAAGAAAATAATTTTAATATGTGTCAATCATATTGCTTTTGATTTTCTTTTATTTTTTAGAAATCATTCTGCATATATTCTTAACCAAGAATTTTTATTATGTGTAACTAAAAATCGGCAGTGACTATAATACAGTCATGTAAAAGTACTTATTAATTAGACGGTAATTTATTGTTTCAGGATTTTCTTACCGCTGCAACAAACACAACTGCAATGGCAGCCGAATGGGCATTGGCAGAGCTCATCAACAATCCAAACATTCTCGAAAAGGCTCAGGAAGAAATTGACCAAGTTGTCGGAAAAGCGAGGCTAGTCAAGCAATCCGACCTTCCGAATCTGCCATATCTCCAAGCCATTATAAAAGAAAACTTCAGGCTCCACCCTCCAATTCCAATGCTCGCCAGGAAATCCATCGCAGATTGCCAAATCGGCAATTACACAATTCCTGACGGCTCTCTATTGTTCGTTAACATCTGGTCGATCGGAAGAGACCCCAAAGTTTGGAGTAATCCAATGAAGTTCAATCCTGAGAGATTCCTGAAACCAAACGAGAGCGATGGCCCTGGAATTAACATTGATGTTAAAGGGTTCAACTATCAGTTGTTGCCATTCGGAACTGGAAGAAGAGGGTGCCCTGGAATCAATTTGGCCATGCAGGAGTTGCCAACGACTCTGGAGGCGATGATCCAGTGCTTCAACTGGAAGGTTGTGAATCCTGAAGGAGTGGAAATGAAGGGTAATGATTTGGTTGATATGTCTGAACGACCAGGATTGACCGCTCCTAGAGCTCATGATCTTGTTTGTGTACCGGTGGCACGGTGTTCTCCGGTGTCATAGGTCCGGTTACTTTGGAAAGTAATTGCTTGAATTAATTGTTTTATTTACTATTACAGTATAACCTCTTTATAGTGATACTCTGTATAAAAATAACTTCTAGATAATTTTGGTCCCAACTTGGATAAGTTATAAATAAAAATAAATTTCACATTATAATAAGTTATAATTTTTCTAGGTCCCGTCTTAAGAAATTTGTCTCTACATAGTAATAATTATATGTATATTGCAAAAAAATATAAATTATGTGACATTAAAGTTTAAAATGAAATAAAATATTTATGTAAAATTGTTTGAGATAATAATTTATGATTTAGAATTGTTATCACATCTTTTATCTTGTAAGTACGTAATAAGTCGTCAGTATGGATACCTTTTTGTTAAAGCCAAAATATTTTTAGCTTCTCCAATATGTTTAGAGATTCTTGGCAGAAAACTTTTAATATTTCTGTGCTCTCATCCTCAGGATTATCTCTTTCCTCTTCTTGTCTAATTTCAGTAATTATTTTTTCTTTAATTAAAGCATACACAACTTGTTGCTCATTTGGATGATTGAGAAAGACATTAATATCCATTTGATTAGTGTATTGAAGTTGTCGAATTTAATTACTCAATTCATTTCTACTGTTAAAACATAAATTATAAAACAATAAATCAAAACAGTAATTTTTTAATCAAAACAATAATTCTTGTAACTACACCTCTATTTAATTATAACCTCCTTATAATAATAAATTTAGTTGATCCCAACATTATGACTATAAAAAGGTTCTACTGTATATCTGTATTAGAAATTAAGTTTCAAGGGAAAGATGTATTGTATTTTGCCGTATCTTAATAAAATCGTATTATATACACGTATCCTAATTAAAATATCTTAATAAATAGACAAGAAAACTTTTTTTTTTTTAATGAGGTATAAATGATATTAAGGCGAAGACGTCACAAAATTTTAGGATGTTCACAATCACAATGGAGAATTTTCATATATATAATAAACAAGTTTAATAACTATTTTTGACAATACATCCGTTTGAGAATCTAAGTTCAAAACTGGAATTCTCGTCTAACCTTAACAATTTTTTAGAAACAAAAAGAAATGACTTTGGATCATGTAGATGTCCATGAGGGGGTATGTGTACAAACCATTGACTTTGGGCTGGCCTGGGAGATGCTCTTGAGTGGCCCGTGTGTTGTGCAAGTTCTGCAAGAGTTCGCCACCTAGTGTTTACACCTTTGGGTTTATGTTTTTCTCGGATCTCCTGTTGCATGTTTGTCTTGTTGGGCTGGGATATGGTTGGCAAAGTTATGAGAGGTTGGCTTTTGTCTTGTAGGTTTAGGTGCTTCTTTTGTTGGTACCCTTCGGCCTGTCCAAGTTTTGTAGCTTGAAGGGTTTCCTTCCTTTAGGTTGTCATTTTTTTTTTTTTTATTCTTTTATACAATTACCATGGTTACCGAAAAAATAATTTTACTGAAAATCAACGATGGACTTAAAACATTCAATAATAAACTTCTCAATTTGGGTTAATTAACAAGTGTTTGTGTTTAGTAAGATCAATGGTGATGTTAGTATATAAAGAAAAATTTATTTTCTAAAATGTTAAAAAAATAATTAAAGTTTGAAAAAGAGTAATAGCTAACTTACGTGTATGTGTATTTATGAAGGAGGTTTAGTGGAATTATTTTGTTAATTGGACAAGGTTGGTTTGAGTAAATCAAGTAGCGTTTATAAAAACAACTTAGAACTCACAAGATATTTAATTGATATTTATAAATCTCCTTAAACTCATTTTTTTTTTTTTTCGGTCAACATTGGTCTACAATTAGATTTAACAGTGGAAATTGACGGCAAGGGAAGTGCTTGTATAATATGCAATAGTTTCGGAGCAAACTGTCAATTTTGGGTACTTCATAGGAAGATAATGTCTTTAATCCGAATCTAAGTGTTACGTTTAGATATTATTGTACCTAACATGCTTTAGAGTTTGGCGAAGGGGTGTAAGCCGAACCGAGCCGCTCGCTCAGGCTCGGCTCGACTATAGTATCAAGTCGAGTTCGAACATGCCACTACTCAACTCGTTAGGCTTGCAAGCCTCAGCGAGCTCGAGGGTATATTTGATAGCTTTGAAACTAATAGGGGGTTATAGTATTTTTTTTCAACCATCATTCAAAGATCAACTCTTTTTCAACCAAACAAAATCAGCATCCAATATTTGATAAGATTTTCATTTTATTAATTTAAAAAAATCAAGAAAAAAATAGATCTAGTCATCGTAAGGCCTTTGAGCAGTTGAATAGTTACGGTTGTCGCATGAGAGCCTTGCAATGGCCAAAACAAGTCGCCGATAAGCTCCATCTCATAACGGTTGTCCAAGCCTAGGAGGGTGGAAAGAAAGGAGAAGAGAGAGAAAAAGAAAGAGAAGAGAAGATAAAGAAATAGAAGAGAAAAAATATATATATAACAGGAGAAAGAGAAGAAGAAACAAAAAAGAAGATGAAGAAGAAAGAAGAAAGAGAACCAGAGGATAAAGAGAAACTGAAAAAGATGGAGAAATAGAAAAGAGATGGGACAAAGAGTAGGACCTTCTTTTTAAAGTTGGAATAGTGTAAAATGCCTTTTTAAAACCTTAAAAATAGAGAATATAAAGGTATATTTGATAGTTTTGAAACTAATAGGGAGCAAATTTTTCAAAGTTGCTCGAGCTTTAGCTGTTGTGTTCGATTTTTCAAGCTTGTCATGCTCAAGCTCGACTCGATTAGTCCAAAACTCAGCTTGGCTCAACTGGTTTACACCACTTTGGCCAAACCACCAAGATTGAAGTGTCAATTCAATACACATCTTTTTTCGTGGGAACAAATCTCAAAAGTTTTGTTGTGATAGGACATGTATTTAATTATTATTTTTTTATAATCCAAAAATATCCATATCCTTCTGGGAATTTAAGTTAAAAAATAGAGTTCTACTTGAACCTCAACATTTTTCTTTAAAAGTGGAGAATAATGACTCTCGGTCATGTAGATATCCATAAGGGGGTGTGTGCACAAACACGGGATTCACATTTAGCTAATTTACGTGCTGTTCTTAAAAGATATTAATACTATTATATGTGAAGCCTTATGCGACATCATTTTGACTTAGGCCGAGACTTCATCCTGATCGTTGGTTTGAGGATAGATCTGACGGCTGAGGACTTACGTGTGGTCAAACCTATAAAAGCAGAGGTCCTTTCAATTCGCAAACAACACGTTTTCTCTCTGTTTGATACCTCTCAAAGTTACCAGATTAGGGTTCAAGATTAGGGCTTTGTGTGTGTATAAATCTGCTGATAATCTGTCTATTGAGTCGTGTTTCTTAGTGGGGTGGGAACCTGGTGTAGAGTTCTTAATACAGATTGTAGGTTTATCTTTGTTATTCTGAAGCCAGTTTTGATCTTGATTGAAATCTTGTAAATGGAAGAGAGTTTGAGGGTTGTAACCGTTCTTGATCGTAATAGTAAGTGCAGCGAGCATCCATATTCTGGAGCTCAACGTGGACGTAGCTTGTTCAATATTGAATAAGTGAACCACGGTAAATACTGTGTGTTGAATCTATTTTGGTTTGCATTGATTGTGTGTTTTGGTTGATGTTTGCTTGATTTGAGTGAGGAGTAATTACAACAGTGGTATCAGAGCCAAAGTTCTAAGGTGTATCTAGGTTTAGAAATCGTTTTATTCTTGACGAATTCGAAAATTAAGGTTTGTCAGTTTTGGGGGGTTTTTCGATTTAAAGGTTCTTAGATCATTAGGACTTCGAATCTTGTTGAGTCTTGGGATTAATTCGTAAGATTAGGTCACAAACACAAGGGATCGACGAAATTCGTGCAAAATCGAAATTAGGGTTTTGTTAGGATTTGGGGGGTTTTTTTTCGAATTAGGGTTTCGAATCGTCCTGAATCTGGTCGAATTGGTTAGTTTGAGTCACAAACACGAGTTAGGGGGAGAAATCTTGGTATTGCCTAGGAGCTATAGTAGTATTGTTACTTTCATCTTGTTTATAAAGTTTAAGGGTATCTTGGCTGGAAAACCAGTAATCGCCTTAAAAACTGTCTGGCAGTACTTGGCAACCTCTGGTATAACAATGCCACGTACTCCTTAGACTGTTCTGCCCTGTCATTACAGTACAATGAGCACTACTCTTATGGAGATCTCCCAATACGATGGGAAGATTGATTTTAATACATGGAAAAAGAAAATGAAGGCCTTGTTATCTCACAACAAGGTTGGAATCGCACTGGAGAAAGATGAGTCCAAATGGCTAGAAGAAAAGAAAAAGAAAAAGGTAGAAGTAGATGAAAAAGCATACAACTTGATCATTATGAACCTGTCAGACACCGTGCTGCGAAAGGTGGATGGTGTGGAATCTCCAATTTCACTCTGGGTAAACTCGAGTCTTTGTATGCTCTTAAATCTTCTCCTAATTTAGCTTTCTTGAAAGGCACTTTATTTTCATATAAAATGGACATAGCTAAATCCCTAGATGACAATCTTGATGAATTCTTAAAAATGACCCTAACCCTAAAAGGTATTGACCAAGAACTAGGAGATTCAAGCCTTGCTATGATTCTGTTAAATTCCCTACCTGAAGAATACTTAGTGGTAAAGAATGCACTCCAGTATAGTGGGACAGTACCTAGTGTGGACCTGATTGTTTTTGGACTAAAATCTAGGGAATTAGAATTAAAGATCCAGAAGCGTAATGGTAGCAATCTGTTTGTGAAAGGGAAAGTTGAGGTTGGGCAATCTAGTAAAGATACTAGAAAAAACCATCAGAGAAATGTAGGCTTTAAAAACAAGAAAAACAGTAAAGGAAATGGTAGAACTAAAGGGGAATCTAGGAAATGTTTCTTCTGTAACAAGGTAGGACACCTAAAGAAAAACTACTATGATTGGATTAAAAAGAACAAACAGAACAGTACAAAAACAAACCTAGCCAGCTGTAGCAGTAACCTAGAAATATCAAAAGC